AAGGATTTATTGCCTTTGAGTATCTCACAAGGCTTTTTTTTAATGTATAAAAATCTGTTGCTTATAGCTTTTTTTTTTTTTTTTTTTTTCTTTTTTGGTATAGGGCAGTAAACAAGAGCTCTGAAAGGGGAAGGAAGCCAGGAGAAAGCCAGCTCCATTAGTCACGCAGCTGCATATCCTGTCACAAAGGACCCCAGTTGAGTAATCGCCCAAAATATGCCTGTTATTTTTTTCTGTCAGAAAAAAAAAGGGGGGGGCCTGCAAAAATGTACTGTAAAAAAAGAAGAGAGAGAGGAAAAAAAAAAAAACCTGGTCTCTCAGCCCCGGAGGGGAAAGGAAAATAAAGAAGAAACAGGCGTGGCTGCTCAGGGCTTGCTAACCCTCTCCCCAACTTGTCTTTAAGAGAAAAAGCCTACCAGCCGTGCACAGCCATGGAGCCCGCCAGGCCTGGAGGAGGCTGGCTTCGTGGGACATCCGAGAGCTCTTGCAGCTACGTGGTGCCTGATACTGGGACAGGCAGAGGCAGTAGGAGACAGTGGGAAGAGGGCAGCGTGGAGGGACGAGGGAAAATTAACAGGAAAGGGCCAGGCTAGTGAACAAGTCCTTCCACGGCCCTTAAGTGTACGACTTCCCTGTGAGCGTCAGATGAGCCCAGCAGGGACCATACACATCAGTCAGAGGCCAAGCCTGCTTTGTCCTAACCTTTTCTGACGGCCTCAGCGAAACGGACATCATCTCAGGCCTCAGCCCCGGCAGTGGTGTTTGAGCCGCAGATGAAGGCAGCGGGTGTGGGGGCTGTCTGACTCCAGGGCAGCCTGAAGAGCAGGGGCCGGGAGGGACAGGCTGGTCCGAGCTGCCTACATCTGCAAGTGTTTTCCTAGAGGAACCTTCCCACATCCCTGGACATCAGGCTCCTGGTAAGGAAACCGAGGCACAGAAGGGAGTCCTGTCCAGTTACTGCCACTGCCCACCCTCCCAATCCTCTATTTCTCAGGACCAGGACTCAGGGGAGAGGGGCCAGTCCAAGTCCAGAGTGTTCTTGGAAAGTCGTACTTTCCTTCCCACTAACATTTTGGCCCAATCAGAGCTGTCCCCAAGGAAAGGGGCTTTCTGTACCCAACTGACCAAAAAGTAACAGGAAGCCTCCGCCTTAAGGAAGAAAAGGGGGCTGTGAGAGGGAGCAAGGCAGACGCACTATCCCTTTTGCCTCTGGGCTCTCTGGATCTGCCCTAGCAGGAGCAGCTGGGAGAGGGGCTTTTCCTGGGGTGCCTCCAGGGACCTGGGCCTTAGCACTCGGCTGCTTGGCCACTCTGGGAACGAGAGCCCTCCTCAGCTGAGGGCCAAGCCAGTGCCGCTTCCCATGGCTACAGAAAGGCCTGCGTGTACCGACACCAGGGCTCTCCTCAGCCTTCTGACGCCTTGGGTCCTGCCTGAGGCCCAGTCCCAAAGCCAGTCCCGAGCCTCAGGACCTGCTCTGCCTTGGCTGTGCCTCTCCCCGGAGAGCTCACAGGCACCCATGCCCGCCCGAAGGACTTTTAGGAAGAGCTTGGCATGGCTTTCTGCGGAGATCCCCCTGCTCCTGGAGGGCGCATTCTCCTCCTGGCTGCCTCACAGATTCGCTGTGGAATTTCATGCGACTCCAGCAGACTCACTATGACCACTTTTCCCCCGACTTCAGGATTTGCCAGCTATAGCCTTTGGTGGCTTAGTAACAGGAATACGCTCTGGGAAGGACATCACTGGCTCACACTGCCCTTGTGTGGACCCCACAAAGTGAGCTGACACAAACCTGTGTGGTACAAGTCAGTCACTCAGTCGGTCACTTGGTGTGGCCTTTTTTCTCCTTATTTCTTTTTGGTAGTACTGGGGACTGAACTCAGGGTCTTAACACTGAGCTTTATCCCCAGCCCTTCTTCTTTTTCTTTGAGATAAGATCTCACTAAGTCGCTGTTGTACAAGCTGGGCTTGAACTCGTGATCCTCCTGCCTCAGCCTCCTACCGCGCAGGGGATTACAAGTATGCACTCAGTGTGTCCTTTCAATGCAATCAAGATAAGCAGACTATATGAAGCAGCTGTCCAGGTAACATAGCATACCATTTTATAAGTAGAAAGAATGCACTTTAAAATAATGATAAAGCATAACATAGAGGGCTCAGTGGTAGAGTGCTTGCCTGCTAACATGCACAAGGCCCTGGGTTCAATCCCAGCACCACCTGGGGGAAAAAAAGCTGGGAATGTAGCTAGTGGTACCGTGCCTGCCCAACAAGCACAAGGCCTTGGGTTTGATCCCGGGTACCAAAAAAGAAAAAAGGAAAACAAAAGCAAAAAACGGACAAAAAATCCTGAAAGAAAGAAAGAAAGAAGGAAACAAAGAAAGAAAGAAAGAAAGAAAGAAAGAGAAAGAAAAAGAAAGAGAAAGAAAGAAAGCAAGAAAGAAAAAGAAAGAAAGAGAAAGAAAGAAAAAGAAAGAGAAAGAAAGAAAAAGAAATAGAGAAAGAAAAAGAAAGAAAGAAAGAAAGAAAGGAAGGAAAAGAAAGAAAGGAAGGAAAGAAGGAAGAAAGAAAGAAAGGCCATACAGTACAGGTAGACTAGTAATATATAACCAGTAGCATGGTCATTTATTCTCATTATCAAGTGCTATGTACTGTGTGCAGTTGTGCTGTATTTTATACTACTGGCTTCCTAGTTAGGTTTGTTTACGCCAACATCACCACTAACATGTGAGCAATGTGTCATGTGAACTGCACTTCACAATGACTATAATGTCATTAGGTGGCAGGAAGTTTTTACCTCCACTCTCTAGTATGTGAGCTGTCACTAACCCAAACCCTGGCATACAGCAGGGGCTATATTAATTGAAATCTCTGTCTGCCTGCCACACAAGGTCCTGGGAATTCACTGGCAAACAATATAGCGCAGTCCCTTTCTGCATGTGAAGTTTGGACAACCTTTTCCACTCCTTCTGCATTCCTTCTTCCTTCTTTCTGGAGTTTCCCGATGCCAGCTCCTTGGATGGGTGAGCCAAAGACGGGCAAGGAAGGAGGGAATAATAAATATATATATTTAAAAACTCACACATGCTGCAAAAAACCCTATGCTGATGCTAGTGTTTCCAAAATGCTTATAGGTAGAGGAGAGTTCCTTAGCAACCTGACTGTAATGAAAATTCCACAAGGGCATCTGGAATTCACTATGTCAGACATTCCCGCTGATTGGGAGAGAGCAAGGCCCAAGGCTGTCTTATAGCACACAAACTACGCTAATAATAATACTGGTGCCCACCGTCTACTACATAGGGAGCCCCATACGGGGCTGGCCTGTGGGGACGTGGGGACACTCCTGATCTGGCTTTGAGTGTTGAAGTCCCTGAGGGCTATTGTCTTCCTGAAGGCTCAGCCCCTTCTTGAGCCCAAGTCCTTCACATAAGCGGAAGCTGGGATCAGAACTATCGAACCTGGCCTGGAGTGACAGACGGGTGCATGAACCCCAGTGATGCCATTAGCCCCCGGATGGTAGGTAAGGTGGCAGCGGGCACCTGCTCCCACATAGATTTGCCTTTGTGATAGCAGTGACATCTGAAGGACTAAATGTTGACCGCAATTATAGTCTCCCTTCTTGTGCCCCGGAAGGAGACTGAGGCCAGAGCCGCCCAGCAGAGAAGTCTCCACAGCCTCTGAGCTCCACGTGGGTCTCTGCTGAGTCAGGCCGTGCAAGCCTGTGGTCGAAGGCACCACGATGACAGGTCTCTCTCAGCCCGTTCCCTTGGAGACTTTTGATGTTTCAAAGCTGACAAGGTTGGCGTATTCCAGGGTGCAGAAAACACGCCTGCCAGGCTCACCTTTCAAGCAGCTGATTAATATATCATGAGGTCTCTGGTCATACGAGACTCTAGGACATGAGGCAGTGACACGCGAGCCTTGCCCTACGCCTCGGGGTACTAAACTGTCAACAAGAGGCCTTGTGGGGTAGATCCAAGAGGGAGAGGCTCTTCTGTTCAACAGACCACATTCCAAACAAGGGAAGAGACGGTGGCCTCCCTCACCTGCCGGGGCCCCTGAACCCCAGGCTTTGCTTAGGAATCCACACCCCACCATGTTTATTAGCGACGCCGATGAGGAGCAAGCACGAGAGATCTGTCCTCCGAAGCCCACTCGCCAGCCTATTACCGGGTACCACAAGATCTGTTCTGGACATGGGGCAACGAGGGCCTCTGAGTGTGTGAAATGTTAAGGGTCTGACAAAGCACTTACTGACCAAGGAAAATCAACTCAGGTGCTGCAGGAAAGGCCTGGTACCAAGAATGTCTGGGGCTTTGAGACACTGGAAAAGATTGCCTAATAACGTAATGGGCTCCCTTCCCTGGAAATATCTGGAAATAGGATAAGTACTCTCCAGACTTGGAAGGGCCAGCAGTGCCGGAGGTAAGAGATGGTCACAGCAACCCGTGGGGAGGGCTGACCAGCAATTGTGCACCCATTCCATGGCACATTTTCACACAAAGGGAAACATACGGGCCAAAATATACCTAACATAAAACTTACAGTGTTAATCATGTTGATTATATGTTTCAGTGGCATTAAATATATTCACAACGTCTTACAACCATTACCACTATCTTCCCCAAAACTTTTCCTCTTCCCAAAATGAAATCTGTACTCATTAAATGCAAAGTTCCCAAATCCTCTTCCTCCCAGCCTCTGACGTCCCCCATGTTACTTTTCATCTTTGTCATTTTGACTACTGTACCACATGTATATGTGGCATCTCATAATATTTGTCTCTTTATGATCAGCTTATTTCACTTAGCATAATGTCTTTCAGGTTAATCTGTGTTGTAGCATGTCAGAGATGATGGATGGATAGATAGATGACAGACAAGACAGACAGACAGAGATTGACACTAGATAGATGGGAGAAAGACAGACAGATATCATTTTTCTGCTGATGCACATGTGTTGTTTCCACCTTTTTTACTATTATGAATCATGCAGCCCTGAACTTGGGTGTACTAATATCTGTAACTTCTTTCATTTCTTCTGGGTATATACCCAGAAGTTGAATTGCACATGCACACAAAAATTAAGGCAAAAACATGGTGCCCCAGAAGACAATATGTCAGTGTCTTCACACTGAGACCCAGTATGGAAAACAGACACCTAAAAAGTAGGTGACCTCTCAGGAAACACGGGAGGGGGTGCTGGTTTTTCATCGAGCAATCAGAGAAGGCTCATAGAAGCCATGATACTTGAGCTAGATTCTGACAGACGACTAGGAGTTTGCCTGGTAGGAAGAAATGGAAAAGAGCAAGAAAGGAAACAATGCTTTAAAAAAAACAGTGTAGACAAAATATGAAATGCCCATATCTTTTCCCTTAGCGGTCTACTGATAGGAATTCTCTTGCGGTTATCGCCATATGCATACACTCAAGAGCATGTCCAGAGATCGTGTAGGTAATGTTTGCAGGGCATAAACTGGAAGCTGCCAATGCCCATCCCTGATTCCCTGGCTAAATTGTGGCACTCAATTGAATGCCCGTGCATTCAAGGGCAGTTGCTGCAAAGAATACTAGAAAGCTGGGTGCTTCGGGCACACACCTGAATCCCAGCGCTCTGGAGGCTGGGGGGTGGGGACGGAGGCAGGGAGGGAGGAAAGAAGAAAGGGAGGGAGGGAAAAACGAAGGAAGGATAGAGGGAGCGAGAGAGAGAAGAAGGAAAGAAAGAGGAAGGGAAGGAGGAGGAGAGAATGAAAAAGATCTCTGCGTGCTGATATGGCAAGAATCCCAGGTTTATTTTTAATTGAAACGAAGAAGGTGCCCAGATTTTCCCTGGAAGGGTACTCGGGAAACTGAACAGTCACTGTCTTTGAGAGGGGCGACCATGGCTTGAGGGGAGAGGTACCAAAATTTCACAATATATCGTCAATTCTGTAGGGCCGTGCACATGTGTTGCATTAAAAGAAATGCTAACGGGGCTTTTAGGGTGATGGGATTATGGGGCATTTTTTATACTCTTTATGCTTTCCTTATTTAAAATATTTTAAAGTGGAAAGCAGCTATTTTTCTGGAATTGTTTAGTCTCAATGGCTCCGAAAGGCAGAGGGATGGAAAAGAAGTTTAAAGGGCTAGGCTTGAGGTGTTTGTCTCGAAGGATTCCTTTCAAGGCAGAGCAGCGTCCACATCTCCTGGCGAGAGAACTGAGGGGCAGTGGAGAGAGAACTGGGCTGAAAGCTGAGGGCAAGGAGGCTGGAGCCAGGGGCTGTCTGGGGCAGGGACTCCGCCCCTCCTCCCCCTTCTGGGAACCCACGTCTCCGAACCCAGCCACACAGGGTTAACCCTTGCGCTCTGCTTCGCTGAGCATGGGGGTGGCGGGTGAAAGCCAAGGGGGTCCAGCCCAGCCCCAGCTCCAGGCGGCATTAATAAAATGCAGGTGTTTGTACAGTTGCTGTAGAGAGGGGAAGGAGCCGCGATAGCAGGCGAGCACAGAGCTTGGAGCACAGGGCGTAGAGGAAAATGTGCCTGGGCGCCATGAGAAAGCAGTTTGCAGAGCGCTGGCTGGGGGTGCAGAGGAATGCTGAAGTTTCTGGCACAGGCCTCCCTGTAGCAACTCCCGGGAGAGTGAGTGAGCGTCTGTGTGTGTGTGTGTGTGTGTGTGTGTGTGTGTGTGTGCACGCACAGGCTGCTATACGCACGCACCCGCACACCCACGCATGCGCTGCCACCATAGCTATTTCCCCAGCAGAGCTTCAGACAGCTCAGCTGTGCCTCCCCCACCCTTCCCTCCCAGTCTTCGGGCGACATCTCTCTGCTAGGCCCCCTACCACCACCGGAGTTTCTTAGCCCCTCTTTGGATGGGCCTTACACCAGCATTTTGGGAGCCTGACTCCCTCCTCCTCGAGTTCCTTGGAGTTGGGGCGGGCGGATGGCGCCTCGGCCCTGGCTTCTAGACAGCGCTGCAGCTCGGCCTGGTGGTGCTCAGCTCCGGAAGTTTTAGCCTTGTCCGGGAGCCACGTGAGACTCAGTCTGAAGGTGTGTGTGACAAAGCACACAGGGGAGCCTCCTCCGCCTCGGGCCAGGAAAGGGCTGAGGAGGCACAGAGGTGAGGGAGGACAGCCGCTGAGGGTCCTCTGCCGCCCCTCCACATGCCCCCGTCGGAGCTGGGAAGGGCCAGGCAGCCCCAGCCTTCTAGGGCGTTGCTCTGGGCCTGCCAGACACAAAGCAGCATAAAGCCGGTTACTTCCTTAGTTTGTTTAGTTTGACTCCTCATCTGAGGCCTGCACAGGAGGGCAACTGTGAACACGTCCGGCCACAGGGAAAGGCTCTGGGTGATGCGGCAGGCCCTAGGCCTTGCTGGGCTCCAGGTGGACTGGAGTTTGAAGGAGGTCAGAGAGGGCAAGCTCCTCCAAATGGAGGTGAATTCCTGGTTCCTATGGGTGGGAGACTCAGGGAAGACAAGTCACTGGTCCTAGGCTGGCCCCAAGTATGGGTGCACGTGAAACCCCAGCCCACAGAGCCAGAACCGTGCGGGGCAAAAGGCCAGCCCGACTATGCAGCAAATGCGCTCCCCAGAATTCAGCACCCAGAGGGCAGAGGAGAACAGGTGCCTGAGAGACTGCTCCGTCCCCATCCGTACTGCCTACCTCCCTCCTCACCAGCCAGCCAGAAACACAGACCAAGCAGGGGTGGGCAGGCGACCAACAAACTGTCCCCCACCCAGCTCCTCCCACAGCCCACAGACTTGTCCAGTGGTGGCTGATTGGAGAAGGCAGGTGTGGACACTAGCTCAGGGAGGGGCATTAAAAAGCTGTAAAGAAACCAGGTATGGGGGTCCAGCACTCTGGGAGGCTGAGGCAGGAGGATCACAAGTATGAGCCTAGCCTGGACAACTTAATTACTTAAAGAGACTTTGTATCAAAATAGACCTTGTATCAAAATGTAGCTCAGTGTGAAGACCGTGGGTTCAGTCCCCAATACCACAAAAATGACTTAAATAAAAACTTTAAAGAATCTTCTTACAAAGTTCCTGGGGCTTCTTGTCCCATACCTTGAATTGAAGCATCCTGACTGACAAGTCCAGGCTTGGGCTTGTTGCTTGTGGGGGTAACAGTGGGAACCGCCCTGAAAATTCAGGGACTAGGTGGCCTTGGGTATCCCATGTCCTCACCTCCAGCCTCTTTTCTGGAAGTGGGGTGGGGAAACACCTTGCACCCTCAGGGCTGCACTCTGGTCTGAAAATCGAGTGCTTTATTGCTCCGCCCCAACCTGTGACGGAGGTCGGGAGCACCAGATGTTTCCAATGAAGACCCAACCGGCCTGGCGAGGTAACCGGCGCGCCGTACACCCTGGCTCCATGGAGAGGCCGCAGCCCCCAGGCCTCTGAAAGCACACGCGGCCGCCCAGTGAAAGGGACCCACGCTCCCTAGCATTCTCCGCTCCTTTCAGGAAATTGCCAAGTTGGCCCTTGGCTTTCTCCTACCCTGCGCCCGGCCCGTTTCCATAGCAACCGCCTCCCCATCCTCGCGAGCCCCTTTGCGCTGCCCGCCCCCCTCCCCTCCCGGCCCCCGCGTCTCATCTGTCTGGGTGGGAAGTAGGATTAGAGTTCATCGGGCCGAGGATGCTTTTCCCAGGGCCGCTTCGCCTTCGTGAATCCTTTGCGGCTGCCGGCTCCTGCCCCAGGCTTTTCAAGTCCCTAGACTTAATGACCGGCCCTGGGTTTCCTCTTCTCTTTCTCTGCCTCCAATAAAGCCGGAGAATTAACCCAGGTTTTAAGAGCCCGGTTCCAAAGTTGCATATCAAAGGGGGCTTCCCCAAGCTGCTTCTGCATTTCAAAGGGGCTGATTTATCGCTTTCACTTAAACCCGCACATTTTGGGGTAAGAGTTTTACTCAGAGGTCAAACTCTGGAAAAACAAATGGATCCCCATTCACCCCCTCCTGGGGTGCTGCGGGCCGTTAGTATATAAACTGCCTGCGGGGAAGGTGGGAAAGAGGCAGCACTTCCAGCGGCCGGGCCCCCAGGCGCTGCGGCTCCGGCTCCAGCTCCCGGGCTCTTGCTGTGAGGACAGAGGAAAGGCTGGGGGCGGGGGCGGCCCTGAGGCGGCTTCCCCAGCCGCTGTACAAGTTCCCTTCCTGCCTCCTTGGCCTCTCCCGGAGCTCTAGCCACGCTCCGAACCACCTGGAAGTGCTCAGTGTCAGCCCTTCCATGCCGGGAGCACTGTGTCCGGGCCCAGCTCAGGCCTGGGCTGCCTGCCTCCTGGGCCACTTCTTGCGGCCAAGTCTGCAGCCACCTCGCATTCAGCTGCCCCGCGCCTGCCTGGAGTGACCCCCACACCCCGACTCTCTCCTCTCATGGAGAACCCTGGCCCCCACCTTCCCACCCACCCTGCACACGCTCCCTCTCCACAAGCGCCTCCACACCATCCCGGCCAACCTCCACTCAGCTGTCACCATTTTACCTCCCCAGTCCCCAGAGCCTGGAGCCTTTGGGTCTCACTGCAGACTGTGCGTTCCTTCCCCTGGTTTAACGCGGACCGAATTCCCGGGCTTCCGGGGCATTAAGGTCCTGCCTACTCACAAGTCCTGCTTGGGGCTGACTGGGGAGCCACAAGCAAGCTGCCCAGGAGCAGTGCTTGGAAGAGGCCGGGTAGGCGCCCAGCACCTTTGGCCTAGCACTGCAGTGCCCAAAAACTGACCTCTGGAGAGGGCAGCCTGAATAAGGCTGTGAGAGGCATCGCCAGCCAGCTTCCCCTTAGGGGATGCGTCTCTGTCTCCTTTTCTCACCCTGCCGCTGGCTCGTTCATTCACTCACTCATTCACTCATTCTTACCTTCAGGCACTCAGGACCTTTGACTGAATGCTGACCATGTGTTAGGGGATGTGTCACAGGCCCTGCAATCCATTGCAGTGCCCCTTCCCCCCGCACAGAGGCTGGGCTCCAAACGGGGAGTCTCCGCTTGAAGACACACGAGCTCAGCAGAGAGACAGAGGGCACAGCCGGTGCGGAAGCTCAGAGGCGGTCCTGTTGGACAGATTGGTGTGTCCAGTAGCCAGGACTGTGGACTTGGGTGTTGAGAGAAGACCCTGAAAGGGTAGAGGAGCAAAATGGTGAATGTCAGGGCAAGGAATCCATCGCCCCTGCCATGCCACCCGAGCTTGACCCCAACAAGATTAAAGCTGTATTTTGAGACGCGTCAGTGAGGAAGCTGGTGTCACGCCTGCCCTAGGCCCTAAGACGGGCCTGGGTCTGTCTCCAAAAGAGGTTGGTGATGATGACATTACCAAGCCAAGCAGTGATCAAATGGCATGAGGATCACAGTGGAACTGGCCATTCAGAACAGACAGCTTCGGGGAGGCCATTCCGTCCAGTGCAGTGATCCCCAAAGCCCTCCAGAAGCTGCTCCAGAACTGAGACAAGCAGAAAGACATTAAGCAGAATCAAAACACAGAGGAAAAGGTATAAAATAGGATCTCTGGGTGGGACCTTCACCCTTGCTCAGCACCACTTCTGATGAGATTGTCAACAGTGCCCAGCAGGTATCTTTAGCCAGGGAGCTCTCCGGAACCCTTAAGGGTCCCAGCTCCTGTCCCTCCTGTGGGTTTCAACACTGGTCACACTGGTGGTGCCACCCTCACGACTTCATAGATGGCAGTGACTGACCTTGGCGTGGGGGAATGTCCAGCTACTCACGAACTACAAAGGGAAATATTTCAAGGATCATTCAACAACCAAAAGAAAACGAAAACAAAAACCAAAAGGGGAACTGACCTGAAGAAGGTTGGTGATGATGCAGAAAGCCCCCCGGGGCAGGAGAAGGAGCGAGCGCGTCCAGAGCTGTACTCCTCGGCCGTGCCTCGTGCTTCCTGTTATGCACACCCCTGCTACACGTGCTCACACCCTGCCTCTGTTTACCTCTCCCCTGAGCAGGACTGGCTCTTCTCCAGAAGTCGTTGCTGCAGAAATCACTCATCACTACACCCCTGGACCAGCCAGAGAGCAGCAGCTTCTCACGCCCTGGAGAGAGGTGAGGGACCCAGGGGGCCTGACAGTGTACACCGCGGTACCTCCCACATGAGCCTGAAGCATGCTGCCCTTAGAGAGCTTACTGGGGAGTCTCCTGGCTGCTTTTCAGGGGAGGCCTGAGAGCCGTGAGGCCATGGAAAGGGCCTGTCTGGCAGGGCAATCAACCTGGTCAGATCTCACCCCCGACACACCCTTATATCAAGGATTGAACCCAAGACCTTCCCACTGAGCTCCATCCCCAGCCCATTTTTATTTTTTTTTCATGAGACAGGGTCCCACAAAGTTGCTAAATTGCCCAGGATGAGCTTGCAGTTATGATCTCCTGCCTCAGCCTCCCAGAAGGCTGGGATTACATGCACCACCACATCCACCTTCTGGGTCACTTCTAAGGCAACTACACTGGAGACAGGGAGCATGGGCGTCTCCAAAGGCAGTTGATAGCCAGAGACTCCTTTCCTGATTTTGCTTCTCCTCTATCCCGCTCAGGAGAAGAAGGGTTGGGAGAAATCTAACCCCGCTTAAAGATCCTACTTTATCAGTTCTCCTCTGTGCTTTCTGGGCCTTAAGACTGTATCTTCCTACTTCTTTCTGCGGACACCACAGCCACGCCCTCTCCCCTGGCCAGGCCTCCTCTTCCCGCTTCGCCCTATCAGCCCTTCCATGAAGTCACAGCTCCCACAGCACAATCCCCTGGACCGAGTTTTTCCTCACTGGCCTCAGGTCCTGTCATCAAGTCTCAGGTCGCATCCCCTGGTGACCAGAGCGAGCATCTCCAGTTCAGCCACAGAGGCAGGTGTTCTGGGGAATCTGGCCTCATCCGACCGAAGGAAATACCATGGGTCTGATTCAAGGACTTCAGGGTGAGTCAGCCCCCAGCACATCGATCGTTGCTGTTACCTAACATCACGCCCAGATTATTCATGAATTACTGTCTTTGGTTTACTAGACAGCAGAGCCCAAGCAGGATGCTGGGAGCCTGATGATGACTTATTGGTCTGCTGTGGGCACAACATCAAGAACACACCCTACCTCTGGCCAAAGGATGCAGCGCAAGAGCGCCACGGTGGAAGTTCATGCCTCAGAGTATCTTCCTGAAGCCTCTGGCCACCTCCAAGCTGACTGTTCTCTGCTTCGCATCTTGGGAAATGCCCCCATCCCTGAAGACAGCAGGTGGGAAGAGTCCTGGGTGAAAGATGTGGGCCCAGGGAACCGCATGTGCCTCAGCCCTGCCTACTCGCTGTAGCCTGCATGCTCTGGGCTATAGCCGTGTCTTACTGCTTTGCCTTCCATGGCAGACCAAATTGGGGAACAACCCAGGTTGAGTTAGACAGTAACTGTCCTTCATATGCGGCAGAAGGGGACTTTGTCAGGTGCAGTAGGACAATGCTGTAGCCACAAACACAGGCTTGGAGTCTGAGAGCCTTGAACTGTTGTTCCGACCCTGCCATCTGACCAGGTGAGCAAGTGACTTCACCTCTCAGAGCCTGTTTCCTCTTTCATAAAATGAGAATAGTAACAATGACAACCTGGAGGACTGTTGTGAATGTTGAATGTCATGGTACCATAAATGCCTAGCACATAGTCAATGCTCCTGAAATGGTCCTGCCCATGGTTATCGCCACTGCTATTATCCTTACTATAATTATCACTAACATTCTCCCAAGGCCAGTCTTCTTTAACACAAAGACCTTTGTCTTATTTATTTCTGTGTCCATAGTAATGCACAGTAAATGGGTGCTAAGCAGACCTTCAAAAGGTGAGACGCCCCAAAGACAAGGAATGGCATGTTCAAAGGCCCTGTGGTGGGAAGAGGTATGAACATTTTGAAGAAAATTTTGTACACAAAATACAGTTCTTTGTTACAGAGTCCATTCAGGTGTCCCAGGCGATCCTTCTCCTATTTCATCATCTGCTTGGCAAGACCACTGGCGCCTGAGCCCATGACACCTACTCAGAAGCACTGTGCTCCTCTCACTGATGAGCAGACTTCCTTCGAGACAGAAATGCCTGAACCCAAAAGACCTAAGGAAGCAGAAATATGCCAAGAGGATTGGGTTTAGTTGCCACAAAAAAATAGTTCCCCAAACCTGTCAGGGCAATTTGTAGTTGGAATTAGACAGTAGATGGAGGCGGAGTCACTGGGAAGGAAGCCCAGGTGGGGGCTATGGCTCCCAGGTAGGGGTGTGTGGGGATGCAATGCCTCAAAGTCTAAGCCAAAGGCCAAGATGGGGGGCCGTAGAAGGGTGCCTTGCATGGAGCTCTTCAACCTGCCCCCAGCCAGGCACGGTGGCGCACGCCTGTAATCCTAACGCTCGGGAGGCTGAGGCAGGAGGATTGTGTGAGTTCAAGATCAGACTGGGCAACAAAGTGAGCTCAAGGCCAGCCTGAACTGCACAGCGAGACCCTGTCCAAAAACGACCAAAACAAAACCTGCCCTCAACATGCCACAGTGTGCGAGAAGAGCCCAGTGCCAGGAACCAAACCAAAGGCTACGCCCACCCTACTCTTCTCCAGCCTCTGGGAAGACTCCTCCCTGGCCACCCTCTCCTGCTCTCATTCAGCTAGGGTCTCCCTCAGTTTAAGTCGTGGTCCTCCAGGGGCACTTACAGTTAATAAAGACAAGGGCCTTGGTACCCCAGAGGAGGAGCTCACCAATGCTCCTTTGTGACCATGGGCAGTTTAAGGGAGTGAGGTTTCTGTAGGAGCTTGCTGGGGCCTCAGGGATGGAAAGACAAGGTCTGAGGAGGTAGGATGGCACCTAGCAATGAGCCCCAAGGTGGGTCTCCCCAGCTCTGCTTATGCCCTGCAACTACTTGCAAACTAAGGTCAGGTTTGTGGAAACAGAATTTAAACTGCTTTTCTGTGAGTTTTAGCAAAGGCATGCATTCGTGTAATCATTACCACAACAAACAGAACAGAGATGCCTCACCCCCAGACTTTCCAGTGCTTCCTTGGAATCAGACTCCTGTCCCAGCCCACTCATTAGGTTATCTGTTTGTTTTGACTTTTCCAAAATGTCATATCAACAGAGTCATGTGGAGCCTAGCCACCAAAGCCTGGCTTCTTTTGCTTACCCTAATGCATGTGAGACCCATCCATGTTATTGTATGTATCAGAAGTTTGTTTTCATTAATAAGTAGAGTTGCGCCATATGGATCCATAACTCTGTTCAGTCAGTAACCAAAGGATCCTTAGGTGGTTCCAGTTTTTGACTATCATGATTAAAGCCATTACAAACATTTGTAAACAGGTTTTCTCTAGACCCAATTTTTCATTTCCCTTGGTAAATATCGAAGAATGGCGCTGCTGAATCATATGATGAGTGTATATTTAACCTTATACGAAGCTGCCAAACCGTTTTCCAAAGTGGATGTACCATTTTGTATTCCCACCAGCAATATATGACAGTTCCAGTTGCTCCCTGGTACTTGAGATAGTCAGATTTTTGTTTTTTATCCTAGCCACTCCAAAAGGTATGTCGTAATTTCTATGTTTTTTTGTTGTTGTTTTTTTTTTTTGGTACCGGGAATCGAACTCACGACCTTACCCAGCAGGCACTTGTGCCACTGAGCTATATCCCCAGCCCAGTTTCTATGGTTTTAACTTAGGGATTAGGGGCTGGGAATTTAGCTCAGCGGCACAGTGCCTGCCTAGCAAGCGCAAGGTCGTGAGTTTGATTCCCTGTACCGGGAAAACCGCCCCCCCCAAAAAAAAACACAAAACAAACTTAAGGATTAAACATCTTCTCATGTGTTTACTTGCCATTTATGTGTCTTCCTTGGATGTGTTCAAATATTTTGCCCATTTTAAAAATTAAGTTGTTTTCTTCTTACTCAGTTTTAAGAATTTTTTATATACAAATCCTCTATCAGATATAGGATTGAGAATATTTTCTCCCATTCTGTGGCTTGTCTTTTCATTGTCTTTACAGAGTCTTTTAAAAAACAGATGTTTTAGATCTTGATGGAATCAAATTTATCAAGTTTTTCTTGTATAGCCTGTGCTTTTGGTGTTTTATTTTTTTTGCCTCACCCAAGTCTCAGAGGTTTTCTCCTATGCTTCCTTCTTTTATATTTTTAGGGCTTTTTCTTTTACGCTTTCTCTTGTGTTTTCCTCTTTACTACTTTAAAGTTTGTATTAGGTCTATTCATTTTGTATTATAGGCTCATGCTAGTTATTGGGTTTTTTTCTTCTTTTCTGATTAGACACCCAAATTTTCCAGCACCGTTTTTTTTTTTTTAAATCTTTCCTCCACTGAATTCCCTTTACTCCTTGTGAAAAATCAACTGACCTGCACGTATCTCTGTGCTCTGCCTTCTGTTCCATGGTTATAAACATTTATTCTTCCGTCTTTTCCACTGTCCTGATCGCTCTAGCTGTCCAGCAATTCTGGAAGTCAGGCAGTGTAAATCTACTTCTTTGCATTGTTTTTAAGGCCCTTCCTCCTCCATAACTCTCTCTTCTTTCCTATGGTTTTCAGGCCCTGGAGCAAAGCCTGGACAAAGGTCAAAGGCCCTGCGATATCCTGGAGATGCAAACTTCAAGCTCCTGCCCTGTCACTCCTGCCCTCTAGGAATAGCAACGTGCTTGTAGTTCCCCACCTAGCCACGCCAAGCCTTCCAGCCTTTGGGCGCACTGTCACCTCTGGCCTCCTCAAAAGTCTCCTCACCCAAGTAGCACAGTACAGTGCCAGAGTGTGGACCCTGGGCCAAGCTGCCCAGGCTTGAGTGCAGAGAAGAAAACCCACTACCAGCACCCCCTCTGGGGCAACGTATCTCCCTTCTCTGGGCCTCAGCTTCCTATCCATGAAATGGGAATAATCAAAGTACCTCTTCTTTGGGCTGTACTGGGGATTAAACGATTCAGAAAGATGTGCGTGCATGCACTTACTGAAATCCATGCTACACGTAAATAAAATAAATAGCCCACAAAATGGGTTGCTCTCATTCGTTTGTGTCTGAGACACCTCTGCTGTCCACTTTCACTGAGAAAACCTGTGAGCCCAGCTTCCTCCCCCAGCTTGTCAGTCCCTCTCTGACCAAGTCCATCTGAGCAGCTAAAGGCCACCACTGAGGCCACAGCCCCTCTACGCAGCTGCTGAGCTCATAGACAGAGCTGTCGGCAACGCTGCAAGGTGGAGCGGCCGGACTGCAGCTCCACAGACAGGAACCCACTTGCCCTCTAGGATGCCGCTGCCCTGGAAGCAAAGCTGTCAGCCTGAGGCTAGACTTTCCTGAGAAGGGGACAGACGAGCAGCCCCTCAAACCAAGAGGAATCTAAACGCTAGCGCCACACGGGTGCAGAGGGAGGGCAGAGGAGGGTGTGCAGGGTATCAAGTGCCAGCTCCTTCCGCGTCCCTGAGCTTCAGCTTCCTGTGTCTCCTGAGAGGCCGTTCCACTCCCCTTTGGGGCACCTGTACTACAAGGAACAGGCTGGAGGCTGGGAAGAGCCCGGGGTGTCCCACCCCTGCCTACATCCAGGGGCGGCCCGCAGCGTGCTCTACCCAGGTGGGACAGGCCACTGCGGGAGGTCCCAGCCAATGCAAAGGGCTCTCTGGGGAACAAAGAACCAGAGGAGGAAACGCACTTCTGGTCTTGGTGCACTTACCCGCCTCCTGCAGCCCCTCATACCCTGCGCCCTCAAGGCGAGGGCAGGTCACACAGCCCTACCAGAACGACATTCTCCTCCTGCCTCGCGGCCCCCTCCTTCCAGCCCCAGGCAGAACCGAGGGCCAGTGGGGCCAGCCAGGCGCTGCCAGGCCGGGCACCTCGCTGTGCGGGGCTGGGAGGAGAGGGCCGCCGGCGCCTCTGCCGGAGCCTCGGGGAGCTGGCAAAGCATTCTTGCGAGTCCATTCAGCGGCTCAGCTATTTCCTGCCTGTTCCAGCACCGCACACTCCACCTGCTCCTACTTAACCGTTTCCTGTTTACTGCCGGCCCCCTGCAGCCTCCAAGCTCCAGGGCCGCGCTCAGAAGCGCAGACAGAGCCCGGCGATGGACAGACACATGGACACGCTGCGCGCTCCGGCAGGGCCCGGTCCTTGCCTTCGGCAGCTCTATCAAGCCCCGAGCTAGGGACCGCCGGCAGCCGTCTGCTTGGCTAGGACGTGGCCTGGGACCGGAAGCGGATGTTTCCTGGCCGGCTGAGGCTGACGCACGACTGTTAGTCACCCCTTCGCCGAAGCAGGCCTACCCTCCGGTAGCCTCTTCTCTCCCCGGCACCTGCCAAAGGGTCTCCCCTGGCACCCCCAGCCCTACTGGCCCCATTCGGCCAGGTACAAGAGCCCCCATGTCACTTAAGTGTCCTCTTCTGTGACTTCATGTAAGAGCCACCTTTACAGGGCTTCTAAAGACAGATTGAAAGGTCAAAGATTTTGTTCTAATCTCAGCACTGTTCCTTTGTACCTCTGCTTTGGGTAAATTATGTAATTGTCCGGACCTATTTTTTCCAAAGACTAATAATAGTACCTATCTAGCGAAGTTCTTGTAACAGTGAGATCATGTCACGTATGTGCAATTTCCTGGCATAAAAAAAAAGTGATCAGGGCTTGGGGTGTAGCTCAGTGATAGAACACTTACCTGGCAGGCATGACACCCTGGGTTCAATCCCCAGTACTGCAAAAAGATAAACAAAGTCATTAAATAAAGGATCAGTGGGGCTGGGGATTTAGCTCAGGGGCATAGCGCCTGCCTGGCAAGCGCAACGTCGTGAGTTCGATTCCCGGTACCAGAAGAAGAAAAAATAAATAAAGGATCAGTGCATGGTAATGTGTGCTCCAGTTACATGAGGGATAATAGGAGACCCACCTGTAGCATTTTAAAAATAAGTATAACAAGGGCTAGGAATGTAGCTCAGCGGCGCAGCGCCTGCCTGCCAGTACCAAAATAATAATAATAAGTGTAACAAGTCATTTGCGTCTTTGTCCCTCTGAAACTGTGCATTGACATGGAACAAAATAAAGGAAGAGTGTCTCAGCATCTCAGACCCCCTGGCTGCACCGGGGGCAGGGAGAGAGGTGGGTGCCAGGGTCAGGGCAGGGGACTGTGGCTCCACATGAGGACTGTAAAAGTTGCAGAGCGAGCTGCAGACGTGCCCTGAGATAGTCATGCCCTCCGCTCGTAGAAGCCCACCTGAGCTCACCTAGCAAGCCCCAGCCTGGACTCTAAAGCAGCGTTTCTCAACCCTGGCACGGGGGCCTTTGGGGTGGATGGTTCTTGCTGGGGGGCTGCCCTGTGCGCTGTAGGACGGCTAGCAGTGTCCCCATCCTCTCTACTATAGACGTTTAGAGCATTCCTTCCTCCTGCTTGTGACAACCAAAAATGTCTCCAGGCACTGACCACCCCCTCCCCCGTTGAGCACCACCGCCCTGGGCTCCAGAGTGGGCCCGTGGGCCCCCCAGCCATCCACTATCTCCCTGCCTCCTGCAGGGCCCTCCTCCTCAGCTCACCCAGCCCAGGCCTAAAGGCACTTCTCCCCCTGCAGTCACAGAGAAACCAGACCAACCAGCTCCCTGCATCTGGGAAAGGCAGCCTGGCCCAGCTGCACGGCTGGGAGTGGTCATGGAGGAGTGTGGGGGCCACAGCAGGAATCCAGTGCCTCAGGGAGGAGCCAGATAGGCCAGAGCATGCATGTGCTAGGGAGCCTCGCTTGCAGCAGCCCACCCCAGGAGGCCTTCTGGGAGCTACCAGGGAGCTCAGAGCCTCAGCTCTTGGCACTGCCTCCCAGCAACCCTGGAGAGTCTTGGTCCAGGCTAGATCCCACATGTTTAAGAGGCCCAGGCTGAGTCAGAGAGGTGTCAAGAACCAAGTTCAAAGCCTTACAGGGGCTGGGAACACAAAGCTTCCAGGGCAGAGGGCTACGTGAGTGCTCTCTGTCTCCAGCAAAGGGATCAGGACAGCCCGATACAGTGGCGAAGGAGGAATGGCAGGCTTCACGGAGGCGGTGCTTTGGAACCAGTTCTGTCAGATGGTAAGGAGTTCACTCACCACCAGAGCACACCTCCCCTCCAGGCCACCAGCCTGGAGTCGAGCCAGCTCTCAACCCCCCAGTGCAGGGAGACAGAGAGCCAGGGTACCCAGCTCAGCCCGGCTGGCGAAGACTCCTCCCCGCCCCACCCCCATGGGCCCCAGCCAACCCACCCAGTCCCAGGAAAGGGCTGGACCGCTTGTGTTTCCAACCTGCCTGGGCCTTGCGTGTCTTGCCCAAGTGGCTCTAGAACAGCTGAACGGGCTTTTCAGGACTGGCTGGGTGCCAGGCGAGTGCCTCCTGTGCTGCCGAAGGACTTCTCCTTAGAAGATCCTGAAATCTTTCACCAGAAGTGGGAGTTGTCTCCGCTGTGGGAGGACCTAGAGAAAGGTCACACACCAAGACCTTTTACAGCTTTGGCAGTAAAATGGGTGCTTGAAAAGACCGGCTCCTTTAGAAGCATAAATGTGGCCCAAAAGCTAAAATGCATCCCTACTAAATAATGATTAAAGTTCAAACGAGTTCACTTTTTGTTTGTTTGCTTGTTTGATTGTTTGTTTGTTTGTTTGTTTGTTTGAGACAGGGTCTCACTATGCAGTTCAGGTTGACTTAAGCTCACCTTGTAGCCCAAGCTGCTCTCAAACTCTCAGTGATGCTCCTGCCTCAGCCTCCTGAGTGCTGGGATTATAGGTGTAAGCCACCATGCCCCGCTAGGAATTCACTTTTCATGGAAATCTATACAAACCCTAATAAGCAGAGTGATGAGGGTGTATGCATGTGTGTGTGTGTGTGTGTGTGTGTGTGTGTGTGTGTGTGAGACAGGGCAGGCTGCAACAGAGCAAGACATGGCTCTCACTTTTCCTGCCCCCACCAGCCTGCCTCGGACTGCTGAGGGAGCCCCTAACACACACATCTCCTCTCTGGGATTCCATACCCGTGGCTGCCTCCCCCTCCCCCAGCCCAGCAGGGCCAGCCTCCCACAGGACAGGCCATTCCCTGTAAGCTTCCTATCCTCTTTAGGGACGCTTATGTGTTCTGCCTAAAAGATGAGATCATCCCTTTGGATTGTCCCCTGGTCACCTTTCCCTTCCCCTGACTTAGACCCCGAGGCGTAGGTCCTCAGCTGTTTGTACACTCCCCTTTTCCACCAGCCCTACACACCACCACCAGATGAAAATCCTGCTTTGATGGTTTCCCCAATCCTTATCCAAAGGACATTGACCAAAATCTCTACCAGCACAGGCTGGGCGTGGTGGTGCACGCCTGCAATCCCAGCACTTTGGAGGCTGAGGCAGGAGGATCTCTGCAAGTTCAAGGCCAGCCTGCACTACCTAGTGAGACTGTGTCTCCAAAAAAAAAAAACAAAATACCAGGACAGTCAAGACCATTCAGGGCTGACCTTCCACATCTGGTCCCGCAGCCAGGAGTAGGCATTTCACTGCCTGTTCCTCTCCCTACATGTGCCTCGAGCCTTCCTCCCGCTCCATTCTCCCAGATCTTTTCCACCCACCTGGGAGCCCTCACGTCACAAGGCCCCTGCTGGGTCTCTTATCCAGAGCATCTGTTATCTCCTTGGGTTTGAATCCAGAACTCTCCCTTCTCCGACCAAAGGCCTCATTGTCTGTCTTCCTACTCTGCCCTGATTAACACATTGCCCGGGGTCTGGGCTGTCCCCCAAAGAATCTGCATGCCAAACTTAGCAAATAAAAATACCAGACTCCTGATTGTGTTTGAATTTCAAATAAACAGCTACAGCAACAAAACTTTATCAGTTTAATATTTGGAACATATTTACGTTAAAATTTCGTTGCTTATCTGAAGTTCAGATTTAAATGGGGATCCTCTATTTTCTCTGGCAATCCTACAAAGAAAGCATCAGCTCATGTCTGAAGCTGCCCACCCCCGTCAGGCTCAGACGCTCAAAGGAGTTCTTCAGGACCTGGATTGTTGATTCTTCTTGTGACTCAGCAAAGAATCACTGGCTTTCCTGTGCTGTGGCCCCAAGACCCAAGACCCAGTTAGTTGCCTTTGGTCCAATTCCTAGCAGGCCAGCTCCGAGAGTATCTCCACCTTTACTGCCTCACGTTCTCACACGCTCAACCTCAGGATGGCACTAGCCGCAGTCAGACCGCAGGCAATGCATGCTCCTTGCTAAGAGAAGAAGGCAGGCGCTCTGGAGTCAGCCCGCGTGCTACCGAAAGAACTGCAGGGTGACTGCGAGGCCTCAGACAAATCATTTAGCATCTCAGGTCTCAGTTTTGCAATTTATAAATGGGAAGTTATAAAAACACTTACCTTAGAGGGCTGTCGTGAGGATCCAGCGAGATACCGGAGGGACGCTGGTGAATAGACTGACTCTTACACAGAAAGCACTCAATGAATGGGATTGATTATCAGGGATGATCTAAGTCTGTCCATGGCTGCTGGCACCTGCGGTCTCCTTTTGAATGTTCTGTCACTGGGTGTTGTGACAGTGCACGTGGTGGTCATTCGTGATTTGCATAAGCAGCAGAGCTATGGCTGTGTCACAAGGAGGGCCCCCCAGGGAGGGAAGGAGATTCTCCCTGGGGAGCTCCCACCTCTAGGTGAGGTGGAGTAGAATACATGGGGTTTCCTCTAAGGGTACGGTCTGGCCCCAGGCCTCCAATTAAGTCGCAAACTCTCGTTTTTCAAGCTTCCCAAAGCATGAGTCTCACCTTTTTAAAAGACTGATAAGAGCTGTTCTTCCCTGGGATAAATGGCTGGGTCCGTCCAGACCCAAATTGTTGCGGACAAAGGAAAACTGGCCTTCTCCACACCCTGTGGCTGACGGTCAGGCTTTCTCTGAGGTCTTTTTGCAACTTGCCAACCCATCCTCAGCCTCATAGGGCTCCAGCCTGGTTCTGACCCTCAGCATGGGTGGGGTACCCTGGGCTCCTTCAGGGAACTCTAGCTCAAGTCAACCAAAGTTGAATTCCCAAAGGATCAATTAGCCAAGTGATTCTTTGAAATCACTAAATTCACAATTTCTCAAGACATTCTTGAATATTCGTAGGGAATGTATTTCTCTTAACCGCCTCTTAAGGAAGGTTCAATTTATCAAAAGCTGAGAGGCCTAGAACAATTTCTTATAGGTACATTCTTCTTATGGATATATTTTTCTTTTAAATATGCTATTTTAAATATTTCATTTTTCTTACAAACATATTTGCAAAAATATATTCATAAGAAGTACAGTGAATCAAATAATATATTCTTAATGCATAGTTACCAACATGTTCAGGCAGAATACAATCAGATGTTCATCGCGAATACATTCACTGAATAAATTTCAGAGGTTATTGTTTAAAACATGTTTTTGGCAAATTAACAAATTTGGCCAAGTCAAAGAAGCAGTGAGCTGACTCCTGAGTAAATTGGCTTCCAGACAAATGGCCTACTTCTCAAGAGATGAAACCAGTCTCTCCCTCTTGTTATCTGCTGACAGTGTGATCCTGGGAACTTCTAGAACAATGATCCTCAAACATGAATATGTATTAAAATCATTGGGAAGCTTAGCGGAACTGCTAGTCCTTGGATTACAGATCCCACAGGAGTTCTGTTCTGAGATGGGAGGGGGCCAGGGAACAGACAGATTAAATACAATTATAAAATCACTCAGGTGCCTGCAGATCCCATATCTCATTTTGAGAACAAATTTTAGGGTGGTTGAGAAAACAATTGATCATGAGGAGTAACTCTGATATCGTAAAGTAAGATTATTTTTCTTCTTTTAATATGCTTTAAAATTACACTCAGCATTAACATCAATTTTGTAAAATTATCTATATCCCATTCTACCATAGTTTTTTAAATCAGCCTTCAATGTGCATGCATACTTTCCTGATTGCCAAAACATGCATAGTTATTTACACTTTTTTTTTTTAGTTTTTGAGACAAGATCTTGCTATGTAGTTCAGGCTGGTCTTGAACTCCCTATGTAGCCCAGGCTACCTTGAACTCACCGTGATCCTCCTGCCTCAGCTTCCCCAAGAGCTGGGATTATAGGCATGTGCCACCACTCCCAGCAACACACTCTCCCTTTTTCATTATTACTGTATATGAAACGTTTTTCACCATTCTGCGAAGGCACTGTCATCATCATTTCTAGTGGTGTGGTTCTATAATATGCCTCTGTGACTGTCTGGGAGTGATTTTATCCCCAAGGGCTCCTGTGGTGCAGGTTTGGTGTAGCAGTGTTGAGGTGCTAGGACTTTAAGAGGTGGGGCCTAGTAGGGGTGGGGCCCTTGGGACTGTCCTCAGTGGGGATGCAGGGCTCCAGGCTCTGACTCTTGCAGTCTGGCAATGTGAGCTCCTCCTCCTATGCCTATCCGCACTCTCTGCCATCACTGCGAGGGCCTCGCCAGAGCCAGGATAACGCTGGCGCCATGCCCTTGGCCTCCAAAACAGTGAGCTAAATAAACATCTTTTCTTTATAAACTTCTCCAGCCTCCACTGTTTCACTGTAGTAATAAAAAACTGCATACAGTCTTCCTACTGTTTGTTCAACTAGTCCTCTAATGTTTTATGTGTGCTTTAGTTCCCAACCTTTAGTAGCAGTGAACATCTTCAAACCTGAAGTGGTTTGCTTCTGTTAAATGATTCCCTCCAAATTCATCTCCAAAACTGGAAGCCATGGTGTGGCAAGGATCTACACTGGTTCTCTACAGTGAGCATACAGCAGAGTGAAGACCAAAGGCCATCCTGGAGTGACATGAAACGCATATTGTAATCCTCCTTTAAGTCACTCGGAGCCTTAGGATAAGGGTCCGAGTTTTACAGACCAGTGTGAGGTCAGGATAGAAAAGAAGTTGGATCAGTAGATGTTATGAGCTTCTTACAGAATCATGCTTTTCATATAATATGTATGAGGAAGGTCTGAGACACTGTAGGTGCTTAATGTGTTCCAGTATTTGATGCATAATAAAGATAGAGCATTCGTCTCACTAACAGCCTGGCATAATTGAATGGCATCATTAACACCCCTTGCCACACCCCCCAACACGTGTGGGACTCTCCAGAGGCAGCGCACTGCATCTCCAGACTTTGGGAAGATGGCGTCAACCCCCCACCTCCCAACCTGCTCTCTCCTCAGCTGCTCCACGAGTGAAGGGCGGGAAGTGGAGGTCTAGGTGTCCTTAGGAACATGAGCCGAGGTTCGCTTCCTCCTTAGAGCTGATACTGTGACAGTCTGCCAGCAAACCAGGGAGCACCATGAGGAGCGAGTGGACCGCTCTCCAGGTGCGTATTATAAGGACGTTGTTCCGATTTTCTCTCCGTGAAGACAGAACATTTGTCCTGTTGACACCATAGTAGGCACTAGCCCCTTACCCGTTGACAAGGAGTTGATGGCTTTGTCTAG